AGGTAACATAAAATAAAAATAACAAAAGCAATGTGGCATAAAATAAAGTAAAGCAATTTAAAATAAGTTTGTATTTAGCATTTGAATTTGGTTGAAATTAAAATTTTTTCACTTTAATACTTATTTTTTCTTCCACTCTTTTTTTTTTGGTATTTTCAGAGATATTGCTACACGCAATTGTCTTCTTAATGGTGCGGTTGTTAAGTTAGCTGATTTCGGGATGTGTCGAGCAACGCTTGTTTATAAAATTGACCTCTCGAAACCACAAAACGTTCGCTGGCTTGCACCTGAGGTAAGGATTTAATAAAAATCCAAAATTCAAAAAGTTAAATACAATAATATTATGCATTATTATGTGTTCTGTTAACACAACATTTCTTAATTTTAAAACGAGAATGATATTTCTGGCATTTGAAAATTATACTCACATTCAAAATGATCTGCTAATGAAAATTAAAAATTTTAATCAATCGTTTATAAATTACTGAAGAAAAGAAATGATGAAAAGACCCCGCTATAGGAGGAACAAGTTTTTTTACGATAAAATATTTTTGTATTCCTATCAAAAACTCGATTGGAAATTAATGTCAAATTAAATTAAAACTGTAAATTTGCAGGTATGGCGTTCTGGTGAGACGCGATTCTGCACAGATATTTATGCATTTGCAATAACACTTTGGGAATTGTTTACAATACCGTATACTCATCCATACAGCACATGGAAAGCGTATAAAGTTAAGGAAAAGGTAATTTTGATCACTTAAATTTAGCTAGAATTTAAATTCTGTCAAATCGAATTTACATGTATAGATTATATGATGTTGTAGGTAAACGATTCAAAGAATTTAACAAGAACTTATAAGTAGATAATCTAAGAGTAAAATACTGTAATAGAGATGATGGATTACAAAGTGATAGATCGTAAGCATTGATGCCAGACTAAATAAAATGATTAATTACTTATTAAGGTAATGGCTGGTTATCGATTACCAAGTCCAAATGATATGCCGGAATCGATGATAACACTGATGCGACGATGTTGGGATCACGATCCTTCAAAACGACCTACAGCTAAGCAAGCACGAGAATATTTGGAAGACATTTATCGAGTACAGTTTTAAAATTTTTTTTTTTTAAAATTCATTCATTAATTTATTTTAATTTTCAAAAAATTTTCATTGCTAAAATTTGATAGTTGCATGACAAACATATGTTTTATTTCCATTTTAGACTTTTGTTGCTGAAAAATCTTCTGGTCTTAGTGCGCGTCCAGCAATGCTAACTTCGCACAGCGACAAGTTGTTTTCGTCAAATGAAGAGATTTCGCCAAAATCAATCAGCGAAACGATGCAATCACGTGATTCAGAGGTTAAAAGGCACAGTTCCTCAAGCTCCAACGGCCAAACATCTAAAGCTAGAACCTGCCGAAGAGGTTCTACCTAATTTCATTTACAGAAAATAGAACCTGC